TCTTTTTAGGGTCTATTAGAAGGTGTGCTAGGGAGAGAGGGGCTGAAGGTGCTGGAGCTGCTAAAGCGTCTAAAATAGGGGCCTGGGTAGGGCCTTTTTCCTCCTTTAAAGACTCGCTATAAAGGGGTTTAGGCTATTCTATAAGCCTGCGAACTGCCTAAGCTAGCTCATCGACCTTCTGTTCGAGTATAGGAGGCTAGGGGGCTTCCAGAACTCCATCGATAGTATATTTAAGTCTTACTTATAGGGCTTTAATCTAGGGGGCAGGGTTAAGGGTATAGGTCTATTAAAGTAGATAAAGAGCCTGTTAGAGTAGTTCCTTAGCCAATGCCTTACTAGCCGAACTAGTCGACTTCTAGGGTGTAGCCGAGGGTTCTTTAGAGGCTCTCGCTGTTCTGGAAGGCGCCCTTTTAGCCTATTTAGAGCCTAAAGGGGGCTCTTAGAAGCAGGGGGGGGCCTAGAGGGCGTTTCGAAAGCGCTTTCGGCTTCCGAGTCCGAGGGGGATTCGATTCGGGTCCTAGAAAAGCGTCTAGGGATGGGTGTAGAGGGGCTAAGGTGTCTTTTCGAATTAAGGGGCGTAGCGAGGGTTAAATCCTCTATATTAGAGGTATGACCTATATCTATCTCCTCTAGGCCCTCTATAGTTATAGGGGCCTTAGGGGCGAGGGCGTGGGCGTTAGGAGCGTTAGAGTTATTATTATGGCTAGCGTTTGGGCTAGTAGGTTATATATAGTGCTGGGGTTTGTCGTATAGGCACACGGACCACGACGTAGTCTATAGGGGATCTAGGGGGGATTCACGCTATAAATAAGGGCTTCGGATATAACAGGGGCGGATACCGGAAAAGACCGGATAGGATCCAAATAATATAGTACCCATAACAGAGTCTTTACCACCTAAAATTAAGGGCATAAGAGACTCTTATAGATATAACTTAATATAATACATATATACGAGATTTCTGCTCTACTAAGTTAATTATCTAAGTGCTATTTAATGTGCGACAGGGTTACGTGGAGGTCGTGGGTACGGCTCTGCGCGGCTGGTCTTGCTGCTTTGTCAGCGTGGGCGCACGGGCCACGTCAAACTTTTACCCTGTACGCGGGGGAGCTGTAAGCCTGTTTCCAGGCATTTTCGCACTTATAATATACTTAAATTAGCGCCTACGCGATACAGGGTTATGGATAGGCGTATAGGGATTGAAAAGAGCTATCGATTAATATAGGTTTCGAGTGGTTTAGGGCGTTTGCGCGTAAAACGTAGGTCCCCACATGTGAGTTCATTTTTTTATAAGGCTACCGCTATTACTACGGGCACTACTCTTACTACGGATACTGCTATTATTATAGGAGAAGACTACGCTACCGCTATTACTACGGGTAAAGGCGAGGCTACCGCTATTACTACGGGTAAAGGCGAGGCTACCGCGATTACTGTGGAAAAAGCTATTACTATTACTATAGACTATACCGCTATTACTATAGATACCGCTATTATTACGGATACTCCACGGTTTATTACTACGAGGTGTAAACCGTTTCCCACGCCTCTAATATCCCCGGAAAATCCTACACGCGCGTTACTTATAGCGTTAGCGGTGGTTTAGGGTGTGAAGCTAGAAGAAGACGATAACCACTAACGAACAGCCGTAGATACCCCTAGGGGGTGCTTATCGGCCGCGCGCCTATTACTCGCCCAGCTATCTATCACGAGAACTATTATAAGCCTTTATACGACCGAGAAAGTGTAGAATGATAATGCCTAGAAGGCGTTCTTTAACGCTAGAAGGACTTATAACCCTATACCTATAAGAAAGTAAGCTATTAACGATTACAATATCGGTGCTATAAATCCCTCTCCTTTTAATACTTCTTAACCGTTATCCTATCTAACCCGCGAGGATCTCCCGCCTCCGCTAAACTACTACCGCGATATACGCCTTTACCTGTTACGGGAGCGGTAGTTATAGGCTAAGGGGAAATACCTTAAGGGCTATTAATAAATAGGCTACTAGTAGGTGGTAAGTAGTAATTAGGCTAATAAGTAATAAGTCCTCGCTTATAGATAGGTATATACCTATAAGTTTAATAAGGAGGACACCCTCCTTAAGTATCAGGCACGTCTTATAGTATAAGGGGATTAATAAAAACAGTTAGAAACTAATGATAACTACGCCGCTATACTAGCCTCCCGGTCCTTCCGTATACTAATAGCTATCGCCGCCCGATTTAACCTAGAGATAAGGTAGTTCGATACTATTAACGCGTTTATTATTACTAGCCTTAAAGAGGAAGTATTTATAAAGATACTGTAAAGCTACGAAGTGCTAGGTAAGGTCCTACTACTACGGAAAGCCCTCTTCGGTTTAAGTGTATCGCTACTACTATAGTAAAAGGAATTTAGCAGTACGCTATAGAAGATAGGATTTATAGCCGTCTCTAATAACCTCTATTTTATAATCTGCGATAGTTTAATCCTATTCTTCTACATTAACGATATCGGACTTATCTACTATAAAGATCGTAAGACTAACGCCAACGACCTTAAGGCTGCCCTTAAGCGAAGCTATAGGTTATCGGGAGGCGAGGAAATCCGTTAGTTCCTGGGAATTAAGATTCTAAGGGATAGAGCTATATATAGGTTATAACTACTATAATCCTCCTATATAGAGAAGATCGCGGATAAATACTATATAGATATCCTTTACCGAAAACTACTAAAGGTCCTATTATTAACTATAAAGCCGTTAATACTACACGATAGCACCCGCGTGTTAATTCCCGAAGTCCGTTAGCATTAGGGTATAATCGGTTTAATCCTATATACTGCTATTATAATAAGACCCGATATCGCGTTCGCTTACTCGAAGCTCTCCTAATATAATATTAACCCCACCTCTAACCACCTTAAGAGGGCTTAGTAAGTCCTACTATTCCTATATTATGTAAGACACTACTACCTAGAATTTGGTGGGGATAGACTCTTCTTAACCGTAAGCGATACGTTCTTCAAGGATAATCTAGACCATGAGAGTTTATAGGGATATACGATAAAGCTCTTCGGCGGCACTATTAACTAAAAGGCGGGTAAGTAACCGATAGTTATAATATCGTTAATAATGTCGGAACTACTCGCTCTTACCGAGGCGGCTAAGGAAACGTTATTTATTAGTCGGATAATAAGGGATTTAAAGCTTCGGTTAGATTAATAATACCTATAGCTATATTACGATAATTAGCAGACTATTAACCTCGGTACTAAAGAGGTCTAATGCCGACGAATACGGCTATAGTATATCGATATTGATAACTAGTAGGCACGCTAGTTAGTATAGTAAGGTCTTTTTAAGGTTATATATATTAATATAAAGGGTATAATCGCGGATAGTTTAACGAAGGTATTACCGGAGACAGGGGATTAAAAGACTATAGTAATAGCCTAATTTAACGGATTAAAAGCATCGTATTAAGTAGTTAAAATAACTGCACAAAGAGATTAAACGCGCTAAAGCCACGGACGTAACGATAATAAAGGCCCCTAAGGGCGTAGTAGATCCGATAGATATAGATCCAATTAAGTAGATCCGGCTAATTAGGATTAAGGAACCGATTAAGATAGAATTAAATTAAACGGTTAAATAGGGCGGATTTAGATCCGTTTTACGAGGGCGTTTTCCCTTAACTATTAATTTTACGATAAAAAGGTTAAGAGCTTTTAGTTTAAACCGAAGCCTCTAATTAGTTAGTTAACCTAGAAAGACCCACCTTAACTAAGGGGGTATATTGTATAGGTACACGGACCACGATATAGTCCTTAGGGGATCTATGCCTGACTAAGGGCTTCGGATCTTAGGGACCTCGGGTATTAGGATATATTAAGAGAGGATACCGGAAAAGACCGGATAGGATCCAAATAATATAATACCCATAACAGAGTCTTCACCACCTAAATTTAGGGCATAAGAGACTCACACAGATATAACTTAATATAATACATATACACGAGACTTTCTGCTCTATCAGGTTAATTATACAAGTGCTATTCTGACGTGCGATATATTACGCCTAAACTAGCTCCTACACGATACAGGGCTATATATAGGCGTATAGAGCTTGAAAAGAGCTATCGATTAATATAGGTTTCGAGTAGTTTAGGGCGTTTGCATGTAAAACGGAGGTCCCCCCACGTAAGTTATAAGGGGGCCTATAAGCTATAAAGTATACCCCTAAAGCCACGCTATACCCGTATATATACCGTATATATAAGCATAATAGCTACGAAGCATACCGCTAAAGCTATACTATACTAGTATATATAGTATATATATAAGACTAATAGGTACTCCTTAAAGTATACCGCTAAAGCTATACTATACCCGTATATATAATATATATATAGAGTTTAATTATAACCGCCAAGGTTATATAGAGATACTAAGCACTACTAACTTACTATTTACTTATTTTAGCTTAGTAATACTTTGTATAGGTAAAGCGTATATACTACCCCTACTCCTCCTATACTATACGGTAAGAAAAGTTTTATTAACCCTATCTGCTTTCTTAACTAGGTTCTAGTAAAAACGCTTACTAAGTTATATTCGATACTGATAAGAACTTTTTACTAGAGATAGTTTGATACCTTTATAAACTTTTTCGATACCTATATAAACTATATACTCCCCTTACCTTAGCTAGGAAGGCTTATAGGCCTAGTTTCTCGGATTAGCTCTAGGTACGTATAGAGCTCTATATTTAAAACATTAAAAAAAGCATTAGAGTAATTCACGATTATATATAGTAGAGTATATATAGTATTCTAAACCGGTAATTTATAGGTCTATATCAGAACTATAGTCGGAATATCTAAATTATATAGTTAGAGTATATAGCCTTATATAATAATACCTATATTATATACTATAGCATGCTAGACTTTAACGTAATAAAGGGTTATATTAAGGAGCTTATTAACTATAGCGGCAGGACCACGATATATATAGTCGGCGACCTCTAATACTTAGCACGGGCCTCCCTGCACTTATAGTATAATATATATAGCGCGCTAGACTTATACCCTTAAAGTCTAGAAGAATAGAATGTAGATAATTCCGCGGTACCTTAACCCGATTATTCTAATAACTCCCAGGCACTATACATCGGACTAGCACGCTATATCCTCCCATAAACCGCACTGAACAGAGTTATCACCCAGGAACTCGATTTCGATACGTCCCATAGGGCGGTGGCTACCCAATCGCTCAACCACGAGCCATAACGGATCACATCTAAGGCGATCGGGCTCAATGTCGAACTCCGGTGTTTGCAGTGCAGTGACAAGCTCTCTGAAATCACCACAACCCGAAGTTGCCAGAATTTCCGCGTGCGGGCCGCGCCCATATACAAGAGATATCCGGATTCCAGCGCCTGAAGGTCTTAATCCGATCTGGCCCGGCTGATTCGAGGAACGCGCTACCACATACGCCCTAGTAAGGCGAGTCGTGGTGATTCTCGCTTGTTTTCTCTCTTCTCCGGCCGCAAAAGAAAGGACAGGGACACGAGAACAGAAAAGTCCTGCGCCATCGCCTGCAACCGCCGACATTTTGCACTCGACCATGGAGCCAACCCGCATGGCAAAGTCAGCGAATTGCCCCGACTCGAAAGTTGAACATACAATGACGTAGGTACCAGCTTCAACCTCCGGGACATGCATAAAAGCACTACCGCAGCGGTAATCTCCCGAGCTTGCCACTACATCTTTCTTTCCGATTGATATGACCCGTTTGCCCGGGGACCATACAAGGTCTAGATGAATGGCCAGATCCCGGTTCGCAGTCGAGAGCAAAATCGAAAGTGGGGTTGCTGTGGGTATCGATATGCGGAACTGAGGATTTTGTGAGTAGGTGGGAGAAGATGCGTTGCCACCGGCGCTTCGCCTGGACCAGGACCCTGTAACCTCCTTGAAGTGCTGCAGATCTTCCCTGGCCGGCTCGACCTCCAGTGGCTCTTGGGAGAAGAACGAAAATGTACACGAGTATCTGTCGAGGGGTAGATCCTCGTGTGTCATAATAACAGTGTAAGCTTTCCCCGCATCCACAGCGAACTTAGCTAGCGTCTGTGGTGAGTCGACATAGGGACCCCGGTACGACGCTACCTCTGTGGCTTGCACTCTCTTGCCGTCATTCTCAAATATAGAGATGCCGGTATACCCAACACGTTTGGCGGTTGCTGCGAGAGAACCTGACCGCGCATTGCGTGTTATCTGAAGCTCCTGGTCCGCAAAATGTCTGCTGAGTAAAATCCACGCAACCTCGCTCACGGTCGAACGCATTGAATACTGAGGGTTGTAGGCTAGCGTATTTCTCATGGTCTTCTGCGGGACTTGCCAGGTGAAATGGTGATCTTGACGGTGGCCAAAGCACGTAGGGTCCCAGTTGAGGTACATCGACTCAAAATTCTGAGCAACTTCTTCGAGCGACATCCAAAATGTGCCAGGCAGATGTGGACCGTTAGTCTCCTCGAAGTTTGAGCCGACAGGTGGGCGTCGCGCTGTCCTTTGGTCTGCGTCACGGAACCCATCTCCGTTCCATATAAGACCGTCACACCACGGGTTTTTTACCAGTAGTCGGCGAATACCGTTTGACTGACTCAAATCCAGAACGGCATAGTCATGCTCACCTACTAAGCCCAGAGCCTCTTCTTCTGATGGCGAAAGACGACCAGTGCCTAAAGTGAGGATGACCGTGCTGGATGCGCAGCCTCGAACCATACGACCCCATGCCTGGTTGAGATCGATGTCCTCGCTACAACATACTATTGTTACCAAGACACGCGATGCGAGTTGTTGGGAGTGACACATGGCTGCGCTTACCTCTGGAGAAATAGTTGTTCGGGTATCCAGCCAGTCATCACCCAAAGATCGGTTCCGGAGTTGCTTCCAGGGAAGTCATAGCCACCGCGCACTTTCAAATACGCCTTCTCCATGAGCGCAGGCCAGAGGAGATCTGGGTTTCGGCGATCGACTACATGGAGGCACCGATTCACATGTTCTTTTGACGTTGGGAGGCGGTCATCCACGACAACTTTTCGGAAACAACCGTTAAAATGCATGCGGAAAATATACGTGCCGTTCTGCGATACTTTTGGTCGTCTATTTTCGTGGTCAAATGGAAACATCAAAGAAGCCAGAAGCTAGTTCTATCAGTCTAACTGATACGCCATGATGAAGTGGATGAGACTGAACTCACTGGCTTTTTGTTGGCGCCAGCCACGAGTATGTTCATTGCCGCACAGAGACTAGCCACGACAGAACAATCAGTCGTTATGTCTTGCACAAGATCGCAGGGGCCACGCAGTGCCATTAGCTTTTCACTTGGATCATTGGCAGCAGATTCCGAATGACAGAATAGCGCAGGTCGCTTCCAGCTGTTCAGAATGTCACTTTGGTGACGAGACATGGTATAGGTAGCCGGGTCACTACGAGGCATAACTGGTGAGAAAGCCATGAGCGTATACATAGTATGTAACCAAAGAAGAGTACTGACCTAAAGTGCATGCCCCCGGGCAAGGGAAGAAACGTGCCTTCCAGAGGGTCAGAGTCCCAGAGCGGGAAGTAGTTGCCATTAAGTCGAGATGATTCATGGAGAATCGCCTTCTCTTGGGAAGAGATCTGTCTGACATGCAATGGTAAAAGGCTGTTTTTTGCCTCCCTCAACTTGTGTACTTCGGCCAGCGCGACCATTTCAGCGCATTTTCGCCTTAATAAGGCACGATGAGAAGGATTAGTCGCAGCAGCATAAGATTTCATGTATAGTTCTGCTGCCATGATAGCATGGTCCAGCACATGACGTCCCGGCTCAGCTCTTCGAGCCAGCATTTCCTGCTCCTGTCGTCCAGAGTCAGTGGTGTGGCGGCCATGGCCCCTTAGGGATATCGAGGTTCAAGACATCCAAGGTGACTTACCATGGCCTTTCTCTCCATGTTTTTATTGACCTCTAAGAAGGTGTCCAGTCTAATACATGTGAGATTGGGCCTTGAAGCTGCGAGACGCCATGCAACCACAGACAACGTACCCCATGCGCAAAAAAGAAGGACACCAGTTAACTGGACATGTTGGGTGGATAAGAAGCACAGCCGTCCTGTCTCACGTAGTATCGACTACAGCGTAACGGTAAAAGGATAAATACGATAAGAACGGTTAGATAAGAGGTTCCAAATTGATTGTATTGAAGCCATAAAACGTTGTCAAAACATACTACGGGGGACCTATGTTTTTCGCGTAAACGCTCTAAACCGCTCAGAATGCATATTGATCGATAGCTCTTTTTAAACTCTATACGCCTATATATAACCCTATATCGCGTAGGAGCTAGTTTAGGCGTACTATAAATGTAGAACGCGTGGAAATAGACTTATAGCTGCCCCGCGCGCGGAGGAAAAGTCTGATATAGCGTATATGCCCACGCCGATAACGCAGTAAGCCTAGCCGCGTCAAGCCGTATCCACGACGGCTATATAACCCTAACACTATAAATAGTACCCTATTAGCTATAATACTAGCTATACTAATACTCTAAACTATAATAACGCCACTAAAGCCCCTAAAACTACCTCCTAGGCCCTTATAATTAGGGTAAGGTTATTTCGACTAGGCTAATCGTTTATTCCGACTAGTGTCTAGGTGCCGACAGGTGCTAGAACCGCTAATAATCCGGTATATATTAATTTACGTAACGGCTATAGCCTTTAATTAAATTAATCTATATTATAGGTTGACCCCGATATAAAGAATCCGGCTATACTCCGGATCTTCCTAACTACACGCTTAGTTAACGGACCTATATCGCCTAGTTATCGCCACCTTATAGCTAGCCTAGCGTTATAGACTTTTCTCCTTTTTCCTTCTTCCTTCCTTAGTTCTGAATAATCTATTATTACGACCTTACTTAGTGCCACGACCTATAACTAGTCGTTTATATATCTAGAACTAAGTAATATCTATATGCTATGCTAGTAATAGATCAGGATCCTAATACTACTGCCTAGCGACTTATTAGAATTAAATAGGTCACGGAGTGGATAAACTAACAGTTCGAAGAAAATACATAAGCTCTAAATATAAGACTAGGCCCTCTCTATAAATAATATACCGATATTAATATAAGGCTTACTCTAATATAAGGATATTACTCGGAAATACGCTAATTTACAGACCGATAACGCGCGAGAGAAGAAGCTAATAAGCGATAACGCCTATTAATCGAATAGCTTATAGCCCGGCTCCTAGGGTCGCTTACTCTGTAAAACCTAATACCGCCTAACTTAAGTATTCCGGCTCCCTTATAGACCCCGATAATCCTTATACTGATAGAATCTATTATATTACCAGTTTTATCGCTAACGCTATAGCTAATAATAATAATAGCCGCCCTAACCTTAATAGCGGTACCCCGTAAGACTATTAATAGCCTAGCAAAGGTCTTAGGGAAGCGAGTATACTATAGCCTGTAGGCCCTCGCGATACGGTAAAAACTTATAATCGATAATAACCTATTCTAGAATAATATATAAGCTTAGTATACGATTTATAATTACTTAGAGCCTAAAGTATAATAGGTTATATTAGCCTTTTATAAAAGCGACGGACGGGGTAAGCTTATAGACTCTAATAACTTTATAGTATATCTTAATTGTACTTACCTTAACCCTATAGAATAATTATGAGCTACCTAAGCCTTAAGTATAATTCGTTAATAGTCCGATAAATCGTTTACCGCTTTCCTACCTTATTTTAAGAGATAGATCGCCTTTATAGGCGGTATTAAATAGTAAGCTACTATATAGATCTTATTCCTTGAAAGAGCGATTACCTCACGACTTAGGGATAAGCTTATCTCCGCCCGTATCCTTACTAACCACTATACTATATTGGTTAATAGCGTATAAGAGATCGCCGGGAAACTTAAAGGTTATTAGTTTAAATAAAACAACGATAAATAAGCTTAAGAGAATATACCCGAGAAAAAGGATACTAATAGCGATATAAAGGTAGGCGGAGTAAACTATATTAGCAATAGAAAGGCAAGATAAAAGACTCGGATATACTATAACTATAATAAAAAGGGGTATATCGCGCGGAACTATAAAAAGCTAAAGGAAAACTAAGATATAGTCCGGAAGGTTTAAAAAGACTCGCGTAAAGGATCGCGATAAAAGCGGGGATAAATCGATTAGCGAGGATAACTGGGAAAAAGAATAGCTCTAATAAAAAAATAGGCGTTAAAGCCGATAGCCGCGATATAACGGGAGTAAAAGGCGTTTAAAGTATATACTAGTAATAACCTAGTACTTATAATAGCTAAAGTAAATAAATAGCATATCCTCGCCCTTATTAATACTAGTTATAACTACTATACCCTTATAAGCGAATAGTTTACTTAAAGACTCTAATTACCGTTGATTAATAATAATAATATTATTATTATTTATTACTCTGCTCTCGCTTAGCTAGGCTAGGCTAGGCACCTAGGTAATAGTCCTTCTCTGATTTTCGAGGGGAAACCGTGAATAGATAAAAACCCCTACGCTCTTATTATATAAGCAGTTCTATCGTGCGTGGCCGCTACGGTATCGCTCCGCGGCCCCGTTTCTATCGCTATTCGAAAACCGGATCTTACCTCCGGGCTAGTAGCTAATAGGGGTTAGCTAGTTAGTTTATTAGGTACCGTGTCGGGTTATATATACCCTCGGTGCGCTATCGCTATAGTCCCTCGCCGCCGTCCTTTCCTTTATTCTGGATCCGGCGAGGTTATTCTTGCCTCGCCGCGGCGCCCTTTATACCCTCCATCCCTTCTATAGGGGGCACGCCTACCCCCCCCCCTTACTTTTTTCTTTATTTATTATTTTTTCTAAAACCTCCTTTATATACCTACTATTTATAGTGGCCCTTATTTAGTTATATACCTCCCTTACTCGCGCTACGTAGGCTCTCCAGGGTAAGCGCTATAGTATAGGCCGGGTATAGCTACTATTCCCTAAAAGGCGTGGTGACTTATAGGGCTAATCTGCCGCTCCCTTTTCGTATAAACCTCCCTCTTTTCCTCTTTTTTCCTCCTTTCCTCTTTTCCTCCTTTAAACTATCGTTCTTAAAGTAAGTTTTACGTGGTCGGTATAGTATAAGTATAGCCTTAGAATACCCGTATAGGATACCCTAGTGCCGTTCGGCTATAGAGTAGGGGATCTAATAGGGTCCTGGGTTATACTATCCCCGCGCCGCCCCCGCTCCGCCCCCGTAACGCCCGCCTTAGTCTAACTCCCCTACCCCTCTAGATACCTAGTAATAAGACCTTTATTACTAAAGGGGGAGCCGGTACCGGCGCCTATAAGGGTAAAGGGCCGGCTACCCCTTAGCCTTCTACTATAAGTTCCCCGCTTTATTATCGTCGCGCCCGCATTATACCCCTATTTTATATTCTAACCCGGTATAGTCCGCCCTTACTATCCGCTTATCGTTATACACCTCCTATATCGTATTTCTCGCCCGTAATTATTAGGTAGCTTTTTACTAAAATCCGCCCGGTAAATAATCGTATTATATTCCCGCTATGCTCCCGCTATACCCCTATTATATCGCTTTTACTAACCCGACTTAGGAGCGGGCGCTTATTATATTAAGAATATTAATAATAACTATAATAGTAGCTACTACGCCCCGGTTTATCCCCGCTACGCCCCCTTTACGCCTTTACTCCGCTAATCCTCCTATTAAATCCCCCCTCCCTATAATAACGCCGCTACCGCCCTTATCGCCGCTACCGCCGCCGCCCGCGCCGCCCCGATACCCTTTATAGGTTTTCCCCTTCTCTATTATACCGTATACACTATATCCTTATTACTAATCCTATCGCAGAATATCCGTAAGCATTAATAGGCGGCTACCTGTTAGACCCGCGCCCTTTCTATATACCGCGCCGCCCCCGCCGCTACGCCCCCGTAGAGTTATAGTAGTAGCTATACTCGTAACGGCGAGATATTAGAGCTTATCCTCGCTTATCTTATAAGTTACCCCACGCCTCCCCCGTATTAACCCCGCTACTAATATATATTATAGGGTATCCCCCTCCCCTCTTTTAGGGACCCTACTACCTCTACCACTAAGGATAAGGCTAATAAGGATAAGGTTATTCTAGTAGACGGTAGAGTAATTAGCTCCGATAATGCTAACGACTCCGATAAGTATATAGATAACAATATAGAGGAGTAAGTAGGTATACTATAGCGCGGCCGTAGCGTAGCCGTATAACGGTTATTAATAAATATTATACTCTCCCTTTACTTATCTTTATAATCGTCTTCGTAATCGTCTATACCTCCCCTATATATATACCCGAGGTCTTTTAGCACCGCGGGGGCTTTACTACCCCTCTGATATTAATTATCGTGCTAGTCTAAAGTCCGGAAGGCGTCCGGTTTATAGGAACCACTTCGCGACCTTCCCCGCGGTCTCCTTACTCCGGAGCGCTAAGAGCTAGTCCTATTTTATTAGTAAGCGCGCGCCTATATCGGCCGCGAGGCGCTCTTATATCTCCCCTAATATATCCCGGCACTATAACGCGATATATTCCGCTATCTCCGGCCCTTTATTAGTATACTGGTAGCGCGGCGTTACCGTGTCCGGCACGCCTCTTATAAAAAAGAAGTGGTAAAGGCCTATCTTCTCCGTTTATACCTAGGTAAAGATAAAACTCTATAGTTTTATAAGGCCTTTATACTTCCTAAGCGCTACGCGGTCGAATTAAGGCGTTTACACTACGGCTACGCTACTATATTAGCGTAGCGAGGTACGCTTTTACTAGTACGCTTATTCCTCTTAGAGGCGCTAGGCTAATTCCCTCCCGAGGAGCTAGGACTCGACTTCCTACTTCTATACCCCCTAAGACCTTAAGGAAGGCCTAACACCTCCCCTATATCTTCTACGCTATATAGCCGCTTCGGCTACTCGTTATACCTAAAGTATCGCTTACTCTTTGTAGGTGCCCTTTACCTATAGTACCGCTCGCGCGGTTAGGGCGTTATAGTATAAATTAAAAGGGGGGACCCTCGCCTCTATCTTAATTACCTTTATAATAATAGCCTAATATATACTAGTAATAATATATAAGCA